TGGAGTGGTAGGAGGTATTTTAATTTGAGATAAAGCTAAGATTATAACTTTCAAAAATTCATACTAACATATTTTATTTGTGACGACTTTCATACTTCATAAACGTAACATGATCAAAAAGAAATTAAAATGTTTGGTCCTTACATCATTTCAAGATTCCTTCATTCAACAAGTATTTAGGAAGTCATACTATGTTATGTATAAGAGCTGGAAAATAACAATGAACAGTTTTAAAGGCAGCCCTTATTCTCTTAGAGCCCTTAGGAACATAGTATACATGCAATACTGAATAACCAACAGGAATGGCCTGGGAGAATCGGGTCTTTTCTGAAAAAGAAGAAACTAGAAAAGGGTACAGTCAGGAATGAGGATAATCAAGGATTTGGAAGCCACCCTGAGCCCTGGCTTCATCTTTTTCTGAAGGGCAATAGGAAGTTGAAGGATTTTGTGTAGATAAAATATTCACTTCTTACTTTATGTCACTCACCAGAACCCATTTATATACTCTATTGTACCTATCAAAACATTACTTGCTATAGTTCATCTTTTGGATTATTATATATGCTTTTATATAATAAAATCGTATCTGCTTTTAAAAATATTAAACTCTAGCCATGCTTTTATATGAGCGTTGGCATATTATATTACAATAAGTAATATCTCAAAAAAAAAAAGCTGACCGTGTTCAATTGATAGAAACTTTTTACTAACACCAATGTTTTCTAAAATAACAAGACATTTTTCCATGACCAGCTAATGTGAGGATGGCTTAAGTGTAAGGCTGTTGGATATATGCAGAAATGTGCTACTGTGGCGTGCTTTCTGCCTGTTCCTCATCCAAGTGGTCAGAGCCAAAGTTTGTTCCTTCCCATGGCTGTGCTCCTACTCCACCTCCCGTCCCGGACTCATCTCCCATCTGAGGGTCTTACCCTGTCCATCAGTTTGGCTACTGTTCTCCTGGTACAATGAAATTAGGAGTTTCCACATACTTTTATATACCGTTAGATGAATTTGTATATCTATAAAAAAGTTTCTTAACCTATATCATTACCTATTTCTTGTGGGACACCATTCAAAGATAGACTATGTAGAAGTTATCAACGATCACACCTAGAATATAATTTTGGTTTTGAGTTTTAATAACATTCCTCTGGAGTACTTGGTAGTGTCAAGGGAAGAGGAAATATTCCTCTGGGAACCTTCAACGAGCTTCCTGTCATATGCAGCACTCCCTGCCTTTACTCACATGTGTATTTTACAATTTGTTAAAGGAATATAGCTCTCCATTTTCAGCTAAGAAAGCATGACATTTACCTACAGAGTTTCTTAGTTCATATATCACAGGCATGCCCAATGGAAAGAATGTGATGTCAGTGCATTTAGTCCTACCATTGGTTCAACATGACATTCATAGATGAAAATGAAGAAGGTTTACTTTGGGTTTTACAGAAGTGTGGGGGAGGCACACTTGGTGGGACCTACTGGTCAGAGAGAGTTAGGGGCAGCAATACACAGGGCCTGAGGTACCAGAGGTGTCCTCCCAAGCCCAGGGTTAGCTTGAGCCCTGTGAGCCTGATTTCATTGTACTGAGATTATGTGGTGACTGAAACACAGGAGAAGGTGAGCAAGTAGTTCTGTTTAAAGTACAAGGAATCTCAGCCATGGTCTCCTCACTGAGCACCAGAAGCCAGCTAGGCCTTTGCTGGCCTCCAAGAGATCTCTGACATCATGGGCTGTAAATTCAACTGGCTGTTAAGGGAGAAATGCTGAATCACTGAGTATTAATTTTGATTTTATCACAATCCAATTAGAAATAATTCTTGCAAGTAGTGGTAATGGACATAGGGAGAAAATGTGTAAAAGGAAATTAAAGGAAATGCTTATCTATTGTAACACATTTAAGCAAAGTTTTCTGATTTCAGGATAGAACTGATCCCAGCCCCCATCCCTGCTCAATGGGTGAATCCCCCATAAAACAGACTGTGATTCACATGCATGATGAAACTAACCTCTTCAGATACAATTTTCTGAATTTCTTAGACTCAGAGGGAAAAAAAATGAGTCAAACGATAAAAATGAGGAACACGAATGAGTTTTCCACCACCCCTTCAGCCATGTTGTTGGGAGAAGAGAGTGAAGGGAGCCACAGTGAAGGGGGACCATGGACCCCATGGAGACTTGCCTGGTCTGTTCAGAGAGGCCACAGCAGATTTTGCAAAGGCCACCAGGAACTGCTTCCTTAACTCAGGTGCTAGAGATCCATTACGCCCTGGAGTCAACAAATGCAGTGTTAGCACTTCTAAGCAAGAATGTCTAACTATTTTCCTGCTTGGGTTGCTGGGCAAATAACCCACAGTCTTACAACAGTCAGCCTCTAGCCAACTGTACTCTTCCTGTTTCCTTCATTGCAAGGTCCCCTACACTCAAAAAGACATGCCGTAATTAAGTTGGATGTTATTTAAAACCCGTAGGTCTTGACTACTTATGGAGTGAGTCTCATGATAAAGGAATAAAAGTTGCAGTAGTGACTGAAGGTCCAGTGTCTGTGGTTCACACAGATTGCTGGGGAATCCAGATATCTATGCCAGAAAAGCAATACTCCAAATAGACTTGTTCAAAATTACTTCATGCTTTTCAGTCTATTTTCCAAAAATCCACTCTAGTTATGTGATATTTTGCTTTACCTTAATGAGCTAACTTGGAAATGAATCTTCTTATGCAGTACCATTCTATAGAGTCCTGGAAATGAACACCGTCTCCATCTACCAGTCCATAAATCCAGTTGTACAGTAAAATGTTGGCTTGGATATTTCCCCAGAGTTGTTCCTGTGGCTTACTGAAGTAACAGTAGAGATCCATTGGTCTTTACTGCTGGTAATGCTTTTATACTCATTGGATTTGAGAGATTTCAAAGATATTCACCAAGATTATCTTCATCTACCTCACAGCAAGTACATCAAGCACTTTAACCAGTGAGCCTTCTTCCCAGACCTATCAAGTCTTCCCCAAGTCTCAGAGATCATTGATGAGAGGGGTTGGAAAGACGGTAAAAACCAGAAGTAGATATCTGCAGCCAATCAGTATTTGCCCAACATGACTGGGCCATTGTACACATGAACTCACAGTGGCTGTGACTGCATGCACAAGACCTACACAGGACCAAGCCAGCAAAAATCCCAACATGGATGGGGGAGGAGCTTATAAAATCCCACCTCTAGCTGGGGAGCTATTGGCAGTGATGGCTATTGTTAGATATCAGTTTTCTTCAAAGATGCAGCCCCTGAAAAGCTACCCATGCCTCCATAGGTGGTCCTACATTCATGCATACACATATACATGGACTCAAGAGATAGGTAAGCAGAGAGAGAGACAGAGAGACAGAGAGAGAGAATGAGCACATCAAGTTGGAAGGAAAAAATGGTTGGGAGGAACAGGAGAAGAACTGGAGGGGTGAGAATGGGAAGCAAACTTGATCATAATGCATTATGCATTCATGTATGAAATTCTCAAACAATTCAAAGGATTTTTAAGAACTTGGGTATATACAAAGTACCATAGGAGCTGTTAAGTATGGTAAGCAAATATACAACTTTCAGAAATCTTAACGATGAAACTGAGAGTGATAATTTAAACTTTTCTAAAACTGCATTTTAAGAAACATCAAAAGTATTCTAGAAGGCCTTAGCTGATGTGTATGCATTAAGGTGCTGAATAAATATGCCATTCCATATCATGAAGTCATTGTATTTGAAGTCTATGAATTATCTTTGAGGTCAGGCTCTTCTAACGTTACCAGTAAGGGGACTGAGACTTGAAATTTCACAAATAGTGACAGTATATGCCTGGCACATTGGTCTTTTGTGTATGGTATATGTATCTATATATAGGTATATATGTAGGAGCATGTGCAGAGACCAGAGAAGCCTGATGGGTAAGGGCAGCAGGTGACCTCCATGATTGCTCTCCACCTTATTCCCTTGAGACAGAGTCCCCAGTGCTGGGTTATCAGCACATGCAGATATTCCTGGCGTTTTCCTAAGGTGCTGACAATCTAAACTCAGGTCCTCAAGCTGACATGCACATCAATCACTTTTACCCACCAAGCCATCTCCCCAGCCCCTGCACACAGGGCTTTTAAGGCCCTCTGTCACTGTCTTTCCACATGACTGCTTCCTTCTAGGAATTCTTGTCATTCCTAATGGAGAAAGCTTTCTGGAGGAGACATTTTATTTTCCCACTAAAATAGTTCACGCCATAGGTGTTGGGTCACCTGTCTTCACTCATTAGCGAATCTAAAATTAACAATAGTTCAGCTATGGTCTAAAGCGAAGATATCTTTTAAAGTCTCATGCTTTTGAGAATACAAAGAAAGGTAACTTCCAGAGTAAGCCATGGACTTTATAGTGAACATTTTTCAGGAACTAATTCTAGGTGGTATTTTTTTTTCTATTTCTAAGTGCACAGCTCAAAGATATTAGGAATATTCACATTGTTGTACATAGCTCAAGATTAGGTTATTGGTCTTTACCACTCATTTCTGCTCCTAAATGTATTTTCCTACTTTCCTAAATTTCTGTCAACCATCTTTAGAACATTCCAGGAGGCCAGCTGGACAAATCTTTCCCTGAAAGCTCATAGACAACTCCTTTGAAAAGTTCCAAACCAACATTTTGACTGCTTGTCATGACTGCTTGTGGGTACACTGGCTTGCTGCTAGCAGAATCCTTATAGGAAGCTTACCCTCCATTTTATTGAGGGTTCGAAGGAAGAGGGCAAGAGACAGGCTTTCTGTGTACTTTCAGCTCTTCCTCATAGCTGTGGAACTTCCGTTTTGTGCGTCTGACGCAGGACCTAAAGGTTATTTTCCTCTACTTGTTACAATTGTATTTTGCTTCATCATTGGTGTTTCCTTAAAATTAATAAGAGCCATGGGCACTGATGTATTATTCATTCCAAGTATACAAATCATGCATTTATCTTGGGTTTCTTTCTTTTCCTAGAGCTTGCACTCGACAGCGCATGCTGAGTGGATCATTCGAGGGGCAGCCAGCAAAGGAAAGGTCAATCCTCAGCGTACAGCATCACATCCGCCAGGAGCGCAGGTAAATACTCCAGGAAGAGGGACTCCAGCAATGCTGTGGAAAGGACTTTGCAGGAAGTGGCTCAGTACAAAGCATCCACCCTGGTTGCCAGGCAAGCATGGTGAGGGCCTGGGTTCTAGCTGCTGGTGGTAGCAATAAAGAAATTCCCAATCTGATTCAAAGATTTAAGAATCTTTACTTCAAAGACTCTTTCCTTGGTGATAACCAAAGTCTTACTTTTAAGATCAGAAAGAAAAAAATATGAAATCTTGTTAGAGGGGATCAAAGACACATACATAGACAGACTATAAGCATTTGCTGTAAAAAAAAAGAAATAAGGCATTTGTGATATATCAGAAAAATTAACTTTCTACCATAATGATTATTTGAATACAAATTTGGTCTTGAGATGTTTTGACTAGTTGACTATGGCTGTTCTAGGTCACTACGGCATGGATCAAATAGCCAGAGGATAAGCAGGGGGAAATCTCTGGAAACTTTGACTCAAGACGTAAGTTCTAAGCAATGCTTTAGATTTTGGAAACTTGATTATGAAAGAGTACTTAAATATTGTTTAGACAATTCTAGTACCTGAGTTTTCCTGTCATCTTTAAATGTTTTCTTACCAGAGGGAATCTGGAAATTCAGAAAATAAATTACATAGCCTGTGGCATTTATTACTACACCAACATCAAAATCACCTGAACAGAGTAACTCTTAAGTTTTTAAGAACTTGGAGGACACAGGTTCCTCTAGTTATCTTTTAGAACCATCTGTCTCCCAGAACTGTGCCAACTGAATCTATGGATCTCTGTTGTGCCCTCAGCCTGTGCAGATGGAGTTGTCCTGGTCCTCTCCTTGTGGGGATGGAAATGTCCCTGAAACCGTTTCTCCTACAGTGTCTCCAGGGCAGGCCACACCCTTAATTTATTCAAAATAGTTTCTTCAGCTTTATTGAGGAAGTACAAATTCAAGTTAAGTTGGACCCTTAATCCTCACAGATCATCTAGTCTTTTCATCCCTAGTTCACATTCATTCAAGACCTTTCCAAGGTCCTGTTTCCAGTTGGTGGGTACATGGCTTGCAGAGCTTTGATATGTTAATTCCCAAGTTTACCCACATTCATTATCTTTTGGGGTCAAGTACCAAACTGAAGTAACCAAGGAGATGCCCCATCATCAGACCCAAGAGCTCATTGGTTTGCTAGGGTTAATTAAGTCATTAGTTCGTATTACATCCATTAATAAAAGTTGTTCCTACAAAAGCCAAGTACCAAAAAAAAAAAAAAATGACCATTAACTACAAAAATCTAGATAGCCCATGCAGAGACACACCTTGGTTAAAAAGAATAATGCAAAAGTGATGCATCCATATTATTTGACTGAAATTAAGTCCATTTAAAAAGCTTGCTATAGAAATGGTACACCTAAACAACTTTGAAAACTTATCAAGTTCCAAATATTCTAAAATCAAGATTTAGTGTGTATAAATTCAGGGCTTTAAAACTTAGAAAATTAGGGCTCAGAAAATGGATTAGTGGGTAAGAATGCTTACTATGCAAGCATGATCTGAGTTCAGATCCCCAGCTCCCCACATAAAAAGTCAGGGATGGCCATTCACATCTGTCATCTCCGCACTGGTGGGGAGCAGAGACAGGAGGATCACTAGGACTTGTGGGTTGCCTACTTAACTGAAAACTAGTAAGTTCCAAGTTCAGTGAGCGACTCCGTCTCAAGGGAATAAGGCAGAGTGTTACAAAGAGACACTCAACATCCTCCTCTGGCCGCTATATACACTCACACACAACATGTACCCACACATGAATAACATACACACACACACACACACACACACACACACACAGAAATTAAGAAATAATATTTTTCTGGAAGAATTCTCCTGTAAAGATCATATAGAATTTCCTAAGAATTTTTTTACACTTAAACTGTGGGCCCTCCATATGTTTACTTACTGACTTAACTATTTACTAAATGTTAATATATGCTGGATCCTGTCCTAAGTGATAAGGTATAGTGGTAATATTCCAAAGTTTACATCCTAGTAAAAGAAACAGATGATCAGCAAGTAAATAGAAATGGCATTGCTGAGAGTGAATTCTTCTTATTGCTACTGGGGAGAAACAGCACCCCCTAGAGGGTTCTTAGTTCTATTCATAAAAGAATTTAAGAATGAATTCAAACAGTACCTTTAGGACGATTTTATTAGAATTTAAAGAAAAAATCTAAAGGGCAGGCAAGCTGTAAATCTCAGCAGCTGCCTTGAGGAGGAGAATGGAGAGGAGAAGTTAAAAAGCCATGAGGTCATACAGGTTTAGCACTTCCATGGAGGTCAGACATGTAATGGATGAGCAACCACATGTAGTGGATGGAAGCTTTAGAGAAAAAGAAAAGAAATACAAGGTGCTGGGGCATCCCAAAGCATTAGAGAAAGTGTACTTAGAAAAGGGATAAGAAGAAGAAAGGGAGAGATTGCACTTTTCTGAATTCTTCTGAAGATAGACTTCTGAAGTCCTACAGAAACCTGCATGTCTATGGCCAGGTCCAGAAGCACTGCAGGATTCCAGGCAGGAAAAGTTCACTATCTCATTAACACACTGGCTATTCCACCCATTTATTTAGCATGACTTAGGTGAACCTACCTTCCTAAGGGTGTTCTATGACCAGATGATTGACAAGTAAAACTGCAAAGGTGGATCTTCCAACATATAGTCTAGAGATTTTATAGAATTGACCAGTAAATGTTATAGGGCTTTTTTTGCTACTCTAACCTTCTTTTCCACTACCTCTGTTGCTATAAGAAAATTGCTTTGTTCTGTAAAGTAAAATAAAATAGGGTAAGGAAATCAAAGGTGGAGATTCAGAGGCAGGTAATTTAAGATACAAAAGCATGTGTAGACTCTTGTATATTAGCCCAAAGAACTAAATAAAGTGAAGAAGAGAGCCATGTGAGGAATCCAGAGGCCACTATTTAGACTACCCATGGCTTCCCCATGCTAAGATTACCATCTAAGAGTGAGGTTCATGTGACAATATAAACCTCAACTTGAACCTGGTCAGTTGGCTGGGAAAGCAGTCGTGAATGTTCAGGATCAAGAATGGCACTCAGAAAGGAGAGTTAGCTAAATAAAGTGCTCGGTGTATATGTGCCTGTACCATTGAAACTGTTGGGTTTTGTCCACATAGACAGCCCTTATTAAGTGTCACGGGGAAGTTGAGAACTAGAAGCTTGTGGTGGGAATACCTGATACCAGCATTACCCAATGATGTGTTTCTAACCTGTGCAGGGCTCTGTTCCTGCCATGGTTTTTTATGTGTGTTTTGTCTTGTTTTGTTTTTTTTTAAAATATCCACAGCTCTGTCTGATTGACTAGCTTATTACTGATATGGAATTGTGATCACATCCAGCACATGGGCTGTACATTTATTATTCCAGAGTTGGGCACATCATGTGGTGAAAATTTCTAGTGGTAAATTCAAAGGCAACACTCTTTAGAGGACTTTGTTTTGAGTGATCCAGTATAAATGTACAGTCTACTTAAGAATCAAATTAGAACATGACTCTGAAAGCATGTATTGAAACATTCTCAACAGTCTTGTGTAGCCCAGGCTGATCTAGAACTCACTATGTAATCAAGGGTTTCCTTGAACTTCCGATCTCCTGCCTTCCCTTACTGAGAGCTGGAATTTCAGGCATATATTACCAAGCCCAGCTTACACAGTTTTAGGCATCAAACCAAGGGTTTTTTGAATGCTAGGCAAGTACTGTACCAACTAAGTCACAACCTTAGCCCTACTTTGTTTATAATTAGAGTACTATGCATCCTCTAAAACACTCGTTTGGGTTTAGTTTTTAATCTTTCTCTCCATCACTAAACTATCAGCCCCACAAGAAAGATATGCTGTCTTAGCTTTTCCTTTTGCTATGTCCCCAACAGTATGATACATCATAAAATTTCTCTAAATATATGACAAGTATTTTATATTTTAAATATTTTATTTTATTTGTTATTTTTATTTTGTGTGTATGTATGTATTGCCTGCGTGTAGGTAAGTGCACTCATGTCGTGCAATGGCCACAGAGGATAGAAGAGGCTGTCGGATCCCCTGGAACTGGAGTTAAGGACAGTTGTTAGCTGTCATGTGGGTGCTGGGATTTGAACCCGGATCTTCTGCAAGAACAACAAGTGTTCTTAATCGCTGAGCCATCTCTCCAGCCCTGCATTTTATATTTTAAAGGAGAAAAAATGCCATTGTCAAGATGCTTATGACCAATAAACTATATGCATATAGATGTTATATATATTAAGATATATCTATTGTATTATGTATGTTATAGTTTGCACATATAAACAGAAATACTTATTTTAATTTTTAAAAATAGCATTAGGCCTTTGAAAACATTCCATTGTAACATGCTTCCTTTTATTTTATTTCTAGCATTCCAATACAGTGAGATACAGAAATGCACAAAGAGAAGACAGTGAAATAAAGATGATTCAGGAGAAAAAGGAGCAAGCAGAGATGAAAAGGTACAGGGCATGGCTGTGTTCCCTGGCTCTCATTTTGGAATGGTTCTTTCCCCTGGCCTTGCTCTTATCCCAGAAATGTCCCCTTGAAGGAAAGTTCAGGAAGAGGAGCTGAGAGAGAACCATCCATACTTCGACAAGCCGCTGTTCATCGTGGGGCGGGAGCACAGATTCAGAAACTTTTGCCGGGTGGTGGTTCGTGCACGCTTCAATGCGTAAGTACACTCTGCTTCTACAAGTGCTTGGCCCCAAGTCCTGTGAACAGCAGGGAGGTTGTCATAGGAGGAGCGAGGACTGTGCAGCCTTAATGGGGTCACCAAATAATATGTGGATTAATTAATCATGCTGCTTCTCTTTACTGAGCATCTGACCAGGTGGAAAGCAAATGGTGACAGTGGTCAGTATTTATAGAAAACTCCCATTGATAAAGCATCTAACAGCTATGTATAATAGCACATTCAACAGCTGCTTAATACATGTATGTCACTACTAAGTCTCTATTTCACTCTGAAAGTCATTAAATAAGGGGAAAGGAAACAGCATGGGGAAGGTCATTTTTTACACCTTCTGCCAGATCATACTTTTTGATCAAAACACACTCTACCTGATTAATTCTAGAATAAATAGAAAAAGTTAACTACTGCTTCTATTACCGAAACAGAAGAAACAAAAACCCAATGGCCACTGTTTCTACCTTGCCAGGATAGAAGAAATGGATGAGAGGACTGGGTAAACCAAAGGCATGCTGTATTTGTGGAGACCTAAGCCAAGTTTGATAGACAACGAATGGATAAATGGGATTTTGTTGAGTATGAATTTAAGTACATGTACTGAAGATATCAACAGTCCTGGGGTTGGGCTGGAGAGAAAACTTAGTGGATAAAGTAGTAGCAGCCAAAGCCTGAGGCCCTCAGTTTGATTCACAGCACCATGTAAAAAGCTGGGCATACTGGCATAGGTGCGTGTAATCCCAACTCTAGGGAGGTGGAGACAGGCAGATTCCTGGGGCTTACTGACCAGCCGTCTTCAACTAATCAGTGAGCTTCGGGTCCCAGCAGAAGATTCTTCCTCAAAACTAAAGTCTTCTGAGGAATGACACACCAGAGGCTGACCTCTGGTTTCCACATACACAAACACACATGTGCACTCACACACACAAACATGCATACATACAAATGCATACATGCAGGAGTCTTGGGAAAGTATAAAACTTTCTACCTCTTCCTTATATGCTTGGGCTTCCCATGATGCCCACATTCAGATTAATGGATGGCCTTTGTTAATAATTAGCGGCAAACAATATCACTATCTATTGAATGAATGCTCAGTTGTTTCTACCTAAAAATACCCATATGTGGAAGTCCTAGTTTCCAGTACTTCAAAATGTGACCATGTTTGTAGACAGGAACTTTAAAGAGGTATTAAATAAAATGAGGTCCTTAAAATGGTGTTAATTCAATATCTCACTTTCTTGTAAGAGGTTTCAACATAAGCTCACACAGAAGAAGCCCTGTGTGAAGACATGTAGGGTAAAGCAGACTCTCTACAAGGCAAGGAGAGAAATCTGGAATAGATCCTACCATCACAGGTCTCAGAGGACCCAACACTACTGACATCTCCATCTTGAACTTCCAGCCCCTAGAACCACATGAGAACAATATTCCCTTGTAATTATACCTCTAGGTATAATTACAGCATCTCTAGAAAACCACTGGGCACTGTCCCACCATCGCAGGGCTAAGAAGACCTCAGGGACCATGTGGTATCATGTATACTCTCCTTTGAGAGTTAATGTTGAGAGTCAACTTGGTAGGATTTAGAGTCACCATGGAAACAAATCTCTGGGCATGTCTGTGAGTTTCTAGATTAGGCTAACTGAAATGGGAAGATCCACTGTAACTATGGGTAGTACCATTCTGTGAGCAGAGTCCCAGTCTAAATAAAAAGGAGACAGCAAGCTGAACACTAGCATCCATCATTCTACGCTTCCTGACTGTGGGTGCAATGTGACCAACTACCTCAAGCTCCCACTGCCATACCTTCCCTGCTGTGATGGACTATATGCTTGAACTGTGAGCCACAATAAACCCTTCTTTAAGTTGAGTTTGTCAGTGTTTTGTTTCAGAAGAATACTAATTTTGAGTCAGAAGCAAATAAGCTCCCCTCTAACCAAGGAGAACATTTAGGTCCGTGGATGTTGAAGGTTTTGCCCAAGAACCCCAACTAGAGTGTGACTTTCTCCTTACCACCAGTCTATTGTTCCTTCTGCAATTCTAGAAAAATCTTCACCATTTAAAGTACCTGAGTAATAATCATTAAAAATACCCCTGAGATTCTGCAAAGTGGAGGAAGATAGTGGCAGTTTAGATGTTGATTTGTTCAGTGCCCAAGTGGGATTTTCATCTTGAATTACCCTGTTGGCTGCCTACATGTTAACATCTAATTACTAATTCTTCACTTCATTTAGTATGGTGTAATTCTCCTTTTGTCAGCAACACAGCTGAATAGGCTGATGAAGACCTTGTAATTGGAAACATACACACAAAGACTGCTGGGGCCTCACTGACAACCACTCACAGGCTTCCTAAAAGTAAACCTTAAAGCTGCCTCCTATGAAATACTATAAAAATTATTCCACAGGTCCACAGGGAAATGGAGGGTGAAGAATTCTCTTTAATTGATGGAGTATCTAACTAAATAATTATGAAAAGCATCCTAGACTAGTAGCACATGCATTTTAAACAAGTGTTTTAAAACAGAAGTCGAGATTTTACTTTGTAATAAGCCATGACAGAATGAGTCACAAATCCAAAGCCATGTGTTTTTAGGATTCTAAAACTTTAATAATCACAAATTGCAAACTGTTTTGATTTTTCTTTTGTCCAGTGTTCTCTGGCTTCTGCAGTGATGTAGAGTTCCAATATATCATAATGGGTATTTTACAGAAGACATAAAAAGTTTTAGGTAGAGAGGTGTTTGTGATTACCATGCTACTGAGTTTTAACTTGCTCACTGTGTTGACAAATTTCATATGCTGTTCTTACTTACAGATCGAAAACAGACCCTGTCACAGGAGCTGTGAAAAATACAAAATACCATCAACTTTAGTAAGCATCACAAGCTCTGCCTTCCATGTGCATTTGAACTTTGCATGTGCTATTTTCTGCTTCATAAAAATGTAATATTTCAGGTTGGCGTGATGGCTCAGTGGGTAAGAGTGTTGCACAAGCAAAAGACCTGAGTTTGAATCCTCAGTACCCATATAATAAAGCCAGGGATGGTCCTGAGAGCTTGTCGCCCAGTCATCCTAAACAAAACAGTGAGCTTCCAGTTCAGTGAGAGACCCTACCTCAAGGGACTAAAGCAGAGGGATAGAGGAAGACACCAGATGTCCTTCTTTGAGCTCCTTCATACACACATATGCACACACACACACACACACACATACCCATGTGCCACAAACACACATGACATACATTATATACATACATATATATTTCATATATATGTATATATACATATATATGAAATAGATCATCAAGCAAGGCATTGTGGCACATGACTTTGGCCCCAGCCCTCATGAGGCAGAGGCAAGCAGACCTCTATGAGTTCCAGGTCAGCCTTATCTACATAAAGAGTTCCAGGCTATCCAGAGCTACACAGTAAGACCCTTTGTCAAAAAGAAAAATACACCACCAGCAGCAACAAAAAACCACCAGCCATGTTGACAGTCACCAAAGCCATCATCGTTTATTCTTGGCAGCTGGATGAAGCATTTGCTCAGCTCACTTCTGCTTGTTCTTTGGCAGTGATTTGCTGGGACTGGTCACTTACCTGGACTGGGTCATGATCATCGTCACCATTTGCTCTTGCATTTCCATGATGTTTGAATCCCCCTTCCGGAGAGTCATGCACGCACCTACTTTGCAGGTACTTCTGTGGAACCTCAGCCCCCAGCTGAGTAGTAAATACAGACCTGAAATTCCACCACTTATCATGACCAAACTACCCTTTGCCTGTTTCAGATCGCTGAGTATGTGTTTGTGATATTCATGAGCATTGAGCTTAATCTGAAGATTATGGCAGATGGCTTATTTTTCACTCCAACTGCTGTCATCAGGGACTTTGGTGGAGTAATGGACATATTTATCTATCTTGTAAGTCTTTGATTATTAAATGCAAAATGTGATGATTTTGTATAAATTCCCTCATCCCTTGGTACAAGAGTAAACTATCTGAAGTCTAGCTGTCATAATTGAATTATCAAATAAATCATAGGCAAGTCCATTACATGCAAGTAAGAGACATGAATGTGAAATCTAAACAAATAATCTAAATAAAAGCATTAAAATATCGACAGATATATTGTCGAAACATATAAATCACACTCCTATGTGTGAGTGAGACATATTAATAAGGTCTAAAACAACCAAGGTAGTTTGTATCCCACAGTTCTTATGGTTCCTATAATACAAAAATGCTGTGTCAAGTAACTCATGGTATTAGTTAATGAGCCCCTCGTTATCAGATCTCTCCTAATTCTAATGTACATAACACCTGGCTGTAGCAGATGCCCATTCAAGTGTTCAGTTCTATTAAACTTGGGAACTACAGAAATGGAGTCAGAAATTTCATTTTCCCACCTACCCAAGAAGGCATGAAATCAATGCAGGCAAAGGGAGAATTGTGTTGAGTAACAGACTGCATGTTGCTGATCATTAATAAAGCAGTGGCTTTTCTGTGGAGGCCTCTGACAGGCATGGGTTAGACTCACTGTTTAAAGTTAACAGATCGCATGCACACCCACGATGTCTGTGCCACACAGCGCATGGCGCCCCTGCGGAATGAAAAGTAATGTCCACCTTAACTCTCAGAAAATGTGGACAGCAGAAGAGACATAGAATTCAAGAGATTTTTTTTTTCTCCTCCAGGTGAGCTTGATATTTCTATGCTGGATGCCTCAAAATGTGCCTGCCGAATCAGGAGCTCAGCTTCTGATGGTTCTTCGGTGCCTAAGACCTCTGCGGATATTCAAACTGGTGCCCCAGATGAGGAAAGTTGTTCGAGAACTTTTCAGCGGCTTCAAGGAAATTTTTTTGGTACGTGGGAGCTGTCTTTTGAGTCTAGTTCATTCTCCTGCCATGTAGCTGATAAAGTGAGTCTATAGTTTTGTTCATTGTCCAAGGATTAGAAAGGAGACAGGGAAACATACTCAGAAACTTCACCTACTGATACTCTGGCTTATTTTAACCGAATAAACATTCTTAGCTGAGGAGAAGCACTCTGGAAAATACAATAAATGTCCTAACCAGGTAGGAATCACACTGTCATTCCTCACCTGACCTGAATTTCTACTCTGGGTTTTACTTTCTTCATATAGAAAATAAGGGTAAGCAGATTCAATACTATCTGCTTCACAAATTAGATTAGGAATGAACACGTTTGGATTCGGTATATCCCCTCGAGTATACAGAATAGAATTCATCTCTATAGTTTTATGTTGTTATCAAAACAAAAATGCAACACCTAAGTAAATCTTCCTTTGAACAACTCAGTAAACAACACACAATAATTACAAATGTGATACAGGGGAAACGGCATTTTCTAAAAACAAAGCTGGAGATAAAACAAGTTGTATGAGGCTCATCGCTGACAGTGTGCTTGAAGGACCTCTGCCTTCCCGAAGAGTGGTCACATGATTCTCTTTTTATTATGAACGAGTTCTGCTTGTGCACAAAGAACAGGGAATGTTTTGCAGAAGCTTGTTTGTGACTTGCTTTCTAGCAAAACTGGTGCTAGATCAGCTGTAGTTTCAGGTGATATGAAGGCATTTAAATGATAGATTGTGATGTTACCAGAGATGTATAGTTGCTGATACTTTAAAAAGTGTTTTTAAAGGGCATTTGCTTTTCACAAAGCCATAAAACTGGCTTTTTCACATGGTTTCATGAGAAGGAAGACAGAGAGTTACCAAACCAGACAGTTCATACACCAAAATCTTTTGACCACTGATAGGGTTTTTTCTCAGCTCTTTCTTCTACAGTGCTGAGCTGTGGCCTACTTAAGACGTTCATTTAGTTATTCACCCAGTACAGTTTAATGGTTACTTGGATTTTGCCCTTTGCCTCTTTTCTCTGCTTTGACAAAAGTAGCAGCCAGCAGAGGGAGCCCGAGATAATTAATAGATTTGCCTGTGAGGCTTGAATTATTCCAAGTCCCCAGTGCACAGCACGTTCCCCTATCACTCAGGCCTGTGTTCACAGGAAAGCTGTGCCATGGTCTCCCTAATTTATTCTCTGCTAATAAAGATGTGAATCCATTTTGGAAAAGCTGAGTACAATAGAAGTATTTAAACATTTCCCTTTGTTCTTTTAAATACAGTATTGATTCCAAAATCGTATAAAAATACCTTATCCCATTTTTTTTGCATGAAAGTCATATTATTTTCTTTCTCAAATTCAAAGTGTGTTGTTAATATTCTCCTTTTGCCATTTCCCCATGGTGGGGAACTTAAAAGATGTTCTTAAAAATAAATTTTATACAATATGATTTAGGAGGTCCCATTGATATCCCTGTTTAAACCTAGTATTCAACTTTAACAAAGAGATTTACTATTTTCTCAATTTCTTTCAGGTCTCCATTCTCTTGCTGACACTAATGCTTGTTTTTGCCAGCTTTGGAGTTCAGCTCTTTGCTGGAAAGCTAGCCAAGTGCAATGACCCCTACATTATCAGAAGGGTAAGATGTTCCTGTCCTTTGGAATTAAAACTCAGATCATTTGCCATTCCTTGGAAAGTATGTACATCGGTGGGTGCCAAGAAGCCCCTTATAAACCTCCTAGAGTCCTTTTCCCACAAACACCTTTTCCCCATAAAAACGCACTGTCTCTTCTTACTAGTGAAGGTTTGAGAGGGTAAAAGCACATCTCATTCTCTCTACTGCCCCCTCCTGTTCCAATGCAAATCCACTGCTGACACTACACATAGCACTAAGACTTAAGATGTTTATAGTTAAGAGCATCAGAAATGTTCCTTTAAAGTGATCATGCCTCTCTTGCCATACAAGACTCACCAGCAAATAAACTCACCCCACCTTTAAAAAAAAACAAAATGGAGAGGCCAAGTTTGTTTCTCACAGCCTCTTTTACTCCTTTCCCACTCTTGGCATGCTCCCCATGAGAAAGTCAGTGCTTACATACATACTCATTTATAATTATCCAGAGTTAGCCCCTTTATGACAGCCCTCAAGGTCTCTAACAAACAACTGAATGTGTATGCCCTCACTATAGCATCTCTCTCTCTAGTCAGTGCCAGCAAGTGGAGGTTTGTTGTAATTGCCTGTATCCTGATAATATAACATGACATAGCTCTTCTCCGGATGACCACTGGGGTACTGGGGTTCTTTTGGTCTGGTGTATTCATTTTTAAGTAGGTCTTTGGTGTCTTCACTCATAAGAAAAGAATATAAACTCTATCACAAGGGAGTGTGGACTTATATCATTTCAACCATATTCCCAAGGAAAGAGCACAGCCTTACCATGCAGGTAGGAAAGCTGGGAAATGTAGCTTTGTGGTACTCTGACAAAAATATTTAGCTCACCTCTGCTCTACTATCCTATGTCCCATTCTCTTGGGATTCTTTTCCATGTTACAAGTGGATTAATAAAGTAAACCAAGTATTGCTGGTGTGTAAATTAGCAGAACTATTTTCTCTTTCATCCAAACAAAATAATACCTTCTTACATTAGCATGTGTATATCCCAAAGGTCCACTAGTATACATTTTTAGTAAATAAGGCTTATACAGATTTTATATGACAAAAATTGTAAGTTCTCTAGCTATTTAAAAGTATAATAACAATCTTGTCCAATCAAATTATACTACAGAATACACTAAAAGAGGATTTCAGTTGGTGCCACAGGGACAGAGACATTCTGAAACCTTCCATAAACCTGAGAAGACATAACAGGAATATGATATGAAGTCGCGATGTACCATATTGGTGGATGAAGGAAGTAATCAAGAGCTGATGTTTTAATCCACAGGCTTGTGTGAGGATGAAGAGTTATTTTAGGCTCACACTGAATAGAAGCCAGAAAGATAATAACAGCACTTCAAGTTGAAGCTTCCTAGGAATCCTGGGTGACTCAGTGTACTAATGATGGCCTCAGAGCATCATGTTGTTCTATCATGTGCTCATATCCAGCCCAAGCTGAGGACCAATGATTCATATGAGGGGCGAAGAGCACACTGTAGATGGGCAAACACAGATAAGATGCCATCTGTCCTCTTTGCAGGAGCAGTGAGGTCTGTGAGAGGCTCAGGAGGAAAGCCTAAGGAGATGCTCAATGTACAAGAGGGATCATTGGAATAGACATCCTGAGAAATGCTCTGCACCTCTTCACTGATCCCAGTGAAAAAGAGCAAGATGAAGGACACACTGTAGACAAATGGAACATCAGTTCTGTCTCAAAGTTTTTAGTGCGTGTGTGTGTGGGGGGGGTGTGTACACGTGCACATGTGCTCATGTGCTGTGGCTCAGGTGTGAGGTCAGAAGTCAACTTTTAGAAGTCAGATCTCTTCTTCCACCGTTAGTTTAAGGAATAGTTCAGGTCTTTAGGCCAGCACTTTTACCTGTTGAACCGTCTCACTGGCTCTGTCCATCTTTCTAAAAGCACAAAGAAAGCTGGATGCTCCAACATTTGGATCATATAACTGATGTTTAAAGGGAATGAGGCTTCCGTTGTCAGGGTCATGGTTTCCTATTGGGGAAAACTGTTATTTTCTCATATTTAGGCCATCACGTCCCTCCTCTGCTCCTTTTCTGAAAATTTGACAGCAGATGTCTTGAGATCAATACAGATAGATATGGAGCCCAGAGCTTAGCCACCAAAGCCCTGTAAACAAAGTCTGAGGACAACTTTTGACAAGTACTTTCTAAATTCAGTTATGTCTGAAGCATCATAACAGGTAAAATCAAATAGAACTGGAAAACCGAGTCAATTACTGCTCTGTTTTGCAGCATTTTCTGTCTAAACAGAATGTGTGTCCCATGTTTAAGAAACTATAATATAGAGCCAGCAGTTAAAGAGCAGGTAAGAAGCAGAAGTAATGTGATGTTTGATTTCAGTGTAGGAAACTGTCTTCCATAGGGCGGGGGGTGGAGGGGCTGACTAAGAGTCTGGGGATGTAGCTCATGGGTAGAGTGCTTGGCTACCAACCAAGCGGAGGTACCGCAATAGCCAGGGGAGGAAGGAGGATGTGGGCCTTAAAAAAAGGCTGTCAAGCAGAGCAAGTGGAATTAAGAAAGACATCAAGCCTTCCCAGAAGGGTCTTGGGGCAGAAGCTGGGCAGAACAGGAAGAGCATGGGCCTTAGAATCAACGCCTCCTAAGTCCAGTCCCACCTTAGTAGATGCACTGGCTTGGTTCGCTCAGTTCTTTCCCAATCTGTTTCCTCCTCTAGAACACTTCTCACACAGGGATATCAAGTAGACTAAATTAAGCTTCCTTACACGAAGTACCCACACAAGACTCAGGTAGCTATTGTTAGACTTCATTTCCCTTCCATGTTGATGTAACTAAAAACTAAGACCAGAAATTGACAAGATCCTGATTGCCAGACAAGGGTGACAAATGGGAATTTCTTTGATAAGAAACAAGAAGCCTGAAAGGTTTGTTAAGAAGAGGAACCTGGCACTTTTTAGTCCTCACAAAGTACAAAGTGCTGTCTGTGGGACCATGAATGAGGACTAGTGTAGAATGATTAATCACTTGTGGAAGGTGTGTCAGATACTTAATCTGGGGAGATACAATGTCTTCTCACCCTGAAAAGACCAAAGTAATGGTGGCACCAGTTTCCAACTTGGTGGACCAATGAGTTTTTACTGGAGTTACTAACAGGAGTATAGGTGAGGGGTTACTTAAAGGAGTAGACAACTGAGAAGCACCTGCATCACCAACAGGCCCACAGCAACACAATGATAGGTCAGGCAAACTGCAACCCTGGCGCTCTCTACACCACTGGCAGGAAGCTTGATAGTCTAGGAAATCGTCTCTCAGCTAAATCTCTCCACAGCTTGGCTGGTCAGAGTCTCCTCCCTCCTTTCATACTGCTGGGGAGGGGCTGTTGGGCCTGGAAGAATCTTCCAAATTTCTTGTCTCCCAGACAAGAAAACCTTTTGTTTACCTCATGAATCTCATGAGCGTCCCCACCTCCTAGAGATGTTTCAGTTTGGAGGAAAATGCTACACAGCAGAAGATCACCCACATAGTAAGTAAGAAAGCTGTGATCCAAATCCAGGTACCAGTCCCAACATGCTTGCTTTTAACCAGGAAACCAGGATGCCTTGTGGAATCAGGTGGGTTCCGAGAGACAAACTGGTAAAGCCAAGTACATTGTAGGGCTGCTATATAGCATACCACAATACAGCCCTTAAAAAAGAGTGTCGATGGCTAGATATGGTTATGAAAAAATAATTGCTGCATATTTTTAGCTGAAAGGTGCATGAAAAGATAGAAACTACATGACCTCATGTATGCATAGGGAAAAAGACCAGAAGAATATACACCAAAGTGTTAATTGTGTCTCTAGATAATTCTAGATAAAATGTCCTTCCTATGATTATCTACACTTTTGCTATGTGGGTCAAAAGTGTTCCTTGTTTAAAGAATTTTACAGGTAATCTAAAAAGAGATAATTTTGTCACTAATAAAACTAGCTGAAATAGGAATGGACACTTGAGGGGCTGAGGAGATGGATCAGTCGGTAAAGTGCTTGCCATGCAAGCATGAGGACCCGAGTTCAAACCCCAGGACCCACTTAAAGGCTGGGCACAGCAGGCATGCATCTGTAAGCTCAGTGATGGGGAAGCAGAGAGTGGAGGATCCCTAGAGCTTGCTGGCCAGCCGTGTAGCCTACTTGGTGAGTTCTGTGTTCTCTAAAAGACCCTATCTCCTCCTCATCATCATCATCACCATCATCATCATCATCAGTGCGGAACATGAAAAACAAAAGATGTCAATCTGTGGTCTCCACGTGAATGCAGACTCATATGTGCATGGACACGCACACAACATGCACACACACACACACACACACACACACACACACACACAGGAGAAATAATCAATAAGCACAAGGAAAAGCAAGACAACTCCAAGGTCATGAGGCTTACTGGCATGACATGCTGGCCCACAGGCAGAAATGGAGAGCCCAAAACAGATGTGTTTTAGAATCAAGGGTGTCTTTAAACAAATTTAACTTGAATTTCTGTTGAAATATTCAGATGATGATTAAAGTTTACCAAAGCCAGGCTTAAGCTCAAACTATGACAGTCCTAGCCCAAGAATGACCAAAGAGAGAATAGACAGAAAGTAAATCAAAACTTCTCACTGCTTTTTTTTCTTTTTAAAATCTTTTAAACAGATTCTTTGTTGAGATGTAACTCAAATGCTGTCATTCGCCCCATCCAAGTGAACAGTTAAATGGCTTTAAACATATTGAGAGCTCTGTAACTAAAGAGTGGTCACTTTTAGAACATTTGAATCACTGCAAAAAGAAGCCCTGTATATGTTCACTGTCACCCCTAGCTCTTTACCCCAACTCCACCTCCACCCTAACTGGCCATTGTTTCCTTTTCATCTTAGTGGAGTACCTTGTTCTAGACCTTCATATGAGAAAGATCATATAAATTTTCCCTTTTGTTTCTATCTTTCCTAACCTAGGACATTTGTATTCATGATGGTCCATGTGTAGCATTTGTCAGCTTTATCTCTTTCGATGGCCAGATCACTATGTGGATGCACTGTATTCTGTTCTTCTATGTGTCTAGTCATAGATATTTGAATGGAAACCTTTTGGGTATTATGAATATTGCCAGTATAAACATCTGTACGTAAGTCTTTTTACAGACCCGTGTTTTCATTTCTCTTGGGCCAGTAGATGCATAAAGTAAAATTTCTGGGTCATTTGGTATAATAGTCTGTTTCCCACTCTATAACAAAATACCTGATCCCCAGATAGTTTGTAAAGAAAGAGGGTTTACTTAGCTCACAGATTTGGAAGCTGAACACCCAAGATTGGGAAGTTCCATCTGTTTAAACCTCTGGCAAGAACCCTCTTGACACATGCTATTATAGTGAAAGTGTGTGTAAAAGAGCCATCACAACAGCAAGACAGCAAGCCAGAGATCAGGAAAGTACCAGTTTGCTGTTTTATAACAGCCTACAGTCATGGGAAGCAGCTCTGAAGAATTTGAGTTAATGGCACCCCAGTTTACCTAACCACCTTTTCTAGGTTCTTTTTAGAGCTCGCTCTCCCTCTCACCACACCACTCTGGGAACCGAACATCCAGCATATGACCCTTGGATACATATTCAAACCATTTCCAATCATAGCACCCATAGATCTGTTTATTCATTTAAGAAACTGCTAGACTGTTTCCAAAATTGGCTGCCCACCGCCCATTCCTACCTCTATGATGTATGAAAATTCCAAGAATGAAGAGTCTCATTTCTCCACAGCCTTACCAACATCTCATTTGTAACATTTCTTAAAACTCTATTTTTATTTTATGTGTGTGAGTGCCTGCATGTATGTACGTGCATCCAAGTCATGCAATCCCCACAGAGGTCAGAACAGAGTTTCACATTCCCTGGAGCTGGAGTTACTGACAGTTGTTAGCCCCTATGTGGTGCTGGGAACCAAACCCAGGTCCTCTGCAAGAGCAACCAGTGCTCCTAACCACTGAGCCATCTCTCCAGCCCATCTGAAACTTTCTGAGTGCAGTTTTCTCATTGACTATGAAGTTGTACCTCATGGAGGTTTTGATTTGCATTTCCCTGGTAGCTTATGTTAGTGAGCATCTTTATTGGCCACTCGTGTCTTCTTTGGAGAAATGTGCATTTAGATCCTTTGCCACTGTGCTGCTTTTCCAACACCACTTCACCTCCTTCTCCAAGTATTTGCTACTACTTGCTAGACATTGCCATTTGCTATTTTATGTAAGAAATGTGTCCTCTTTTTTCTGAGTTCACTTTCTAACTAGGTTTCCCTTCCTCCTTTGTTTTTCCTACTTTAGGAAGATTGTAATGGCATTTTCAGAATTAATGTAAGTGTGTCCAAGAACTTAAATTTGAAACTAAAACCTGGAGAGAAAAAACCTGGATTTTGGGTGCCCCGTGTTTGGTAAGCTTCTAAGAAAAATATCCTAAGGAATGCTATACTTGCTAGTATGGTGTTTAAATCAGTGTAATTTGGAATGATTCTGCTTAAAATATTAAAATTATCTTAAATAATATAGAATATGATATTGGATTATATCAGAACATCAAAAACCAAACAAACGAACAAAAAACTGGTAAGAAACCAGGTGATCCACGGAATTCCATGTTGCTTTGTGAAATTAATGAAAAACTGCTTCAGTATGTTTCTGATGTGGTAAAGTACATATCTGGATTGGAATAGCTTTAAAAATTAATGAGGCTTAAAAAACAAAGATTTCCTATCACATTAAACCCGAACTCATTTTGAGTTTATATCTTTAAGGGAGGCTCTGATGTCCCTATAACAGTTGTAGAGAGTTCTAAATTATAAAGCTACTTCAGTTTAAAAACCTACTTACATTGACGGATCGCCATCATTGAAACACTGGAGAGGAATAATCAGTACTATAGTTGATTAGACCTAATTCTCTCCTTAAAATTCATTTTTCTTGGAAATGAGTTTTCAAAACCTTTCCATCAAAAGTAGTGCCTTTGCAGAACCTTCTTTCTCATCTGCTTATTAATGACCATGAATGGAATTTTTCTGCTTCGTTGATAAACTCAGTATTCCATCAACTTCATTTGTTCATTTAATTATCTTTTTAAATTTCTTTGTGCCTCTTAGGATAATGAGTGAGTCACAGGAACTCTGTCTTTATCACAATCCAGTTTCTTTTCTACTCATCAAAACTTTTTTAAAAAGAATATTTCACTAGCTCCAACCTAGACTCATTCTCATCTTGCTTTGGTGTTTCTCTAATATAAAATTCACTTCATGAACAATTCAATATTATAGCTATTGGAATTTTTATTTTTTAATACACCCAACAAGTGTGGAAAACAGTTATTTTGGATGTGGGTTTTGAGCATGACAAAGAGGAATTTAGCTCATGGAAAAGTCTTATCCCAATGCACACTAGAAAAGCAGTCTAATTTACATTAAAATAAAAATTTGAAGAAGCATAAAAGGTTTATTTTGTGAGACGAAATTCATTATACCATAAATAACTTACTTATATCAGGACATTAAATGGGATTTTTTCCCCTGCTGTTTTAGGATTTGGGCTAAAGCCTCAAAGCTGATCTTAATTCTAAAGAGAGTAACTGGAGCAACTCCCTAGAACTTACTGAGATGTTATTACCCTGTTCTAGGCTGTAACCAAAAGCCACACACAAGTATAGCATCCTGGGAGGAACAGGCCAGGGGAAGAGTGCTATGCTATGGCATTCCCCACTTCCTTCTGTGGAGGAAGTCCAAGGTGCTTCCTACTCTAGTAGATGAGGTCCCGCAGGAGGGCCTCTTATTATTAGAGCTTGACGAAGCAGTAGGAGAGGCCTCAGAGCAAAGCTGCTCTTCAGCCCTAGCAGAACAGGCTGCCGTGTGTTCCTGGAGGACCAAAGATGTAGTTCTTGCCTAGGACTAGCTAGTCTGAACCCTCTTAGATGGAGCCCCATTGCAAAGGGTTATGTGCTGGGGAGAGGAGCCTTCCCCCATCGGAGACCCTGGTGTGTTTCTGGGTCTAGATGGGGCACTCTTGTTTCAAAGGGCACTAACAGGAAATCTGAAATATAGTAAGGCCACTGGAACAGGTGATAACCACAGACAAAAAGGCAATTTGTTACAGTTTCAAGAGGAGATGCTTGCCACACCATGCCTGGGAGAGACACACACAGGGAAATAGAAGGGTTAGCAGGTAGAAGGAGAGAAGATTTGTGGGGAAAGGTTGTATTGTGGCTTTCATCTTCCTGGGGAGGAACAGGGAGATGGGAAAAACTGACCTACAATTGGATAGTTTGGATGTTTTCTGCAGGTCCTGGGACATAGAGGCTGTCCCCAATAGTGGGGCCCTGGCTCTAGGGTATTTAGAGCACAGTCTGATGGCCTAGATATGAAAGCTTCATAAAGAAGGTGGTTGGGTGTGATCTCTTGGTTGAGTGCTTTGTATCTGAAAACTACATCAACTAAGAAGATTCTAATCTTATGATAAAGTGACCAAAATGCTTTGTAACCTCTCAAAATGTCAAGAGGAGAACTGGAACTCACTGGAAGGCAGTGTGTCGAGATAAATAAACCAATCCCAGGTTGTACCATGCAGCATTCAACTTATCCATAAAATCAATTATATGTAATTTTTGAAAATCAAATAATTGAAATACAGCATTGCATGCAAATTATTACTAGACGGCATCAAGTTCAACATTTTAAACTGAGCAGATAGGGGCCAAGCTTTGGCTCTCATCACACTGCCCTTTGCCTGCTTATCTGGGTCTGTCACTTGGCTTCCTTATGAAACAAAAATCTTCAGTGTAGTCAATACTAGCTGTAGTCTTGGCACTTCTAAACTTTCCTTCTCTAATTTAATCAGAGTTAAAAGATTAATTTTTTGTAATTTTATATTGAGTAAATCATGATTAAGACTATAACTTATATCTGGTTATGTGCATAGTGAAATGCTTTAGTAATTATAATTAAGATATAAATATGCACTGTCTAATTCAGGAGACAGACTAGCTCCCATAATCTCCCCTCAGATGAATACACCCATTTTCTTCTGAGTGATTCAGATTTAATAACATAAACATCACCTCAGGATGAAACGATTAGGCATATTGCATATCATAAATATTGCATGTTACATTTTAAGCACAGGTCTGGAATACCCAAAAGTAGTAGGCATGTAAAAACAAAGTGTTCTGTTTTATTCTAAATTTGTATTTACCGAGTGCTCACAATCACCAGGTGTACTTGTCATTCGTTCAGCTGTATGCTGTGACCTTTGTGCCTTAGAAACCTGAAGTGGAAAATAGAAAATAAAATAAAAAATAATGTCATATAGCATGCTAAGTGCTTTGATATGCACCAATAAGCCTCTAAGCGCTCGGCTGGCTCGCCCAAAGTTCCTTCTTCAGGTAACTTTAAGTTACACTAGAATGCATTCTAGGCAGGTCTTATAGGTCTAAGGCTCAAATAATTTGGGATATAAGAGTATGAGAAAGTATTGGTACAAAAGAGACCTCAAGATTCTTTAGATGTCTGGAATAGCTGTCTCTGTTTTCTACACACAGCAAAAGTGTAATGAAAAGCACACAGGAGAAGCCCCTGACCCAGAGCACCATAGGACTAGGCAGAAGGACCAGAGGAGAGATGACTATAGAGATGGGCCAAAAATTAAGAGTGCTGACTGTTCTGGCTGCTCTTGCAGAGGTCCGGGTTTGGTTCCCAGCACCCACTTGGTGGCTAACAACTCTAGTTCCAGAGGATCCGATGCCCTCTTCTGACATGGGTGCACTTACATGAATGCAGGCAAAACACTCATACATATAATATAAAAATAATAAATAAAATATTTATTAAAAAGGCAAAGGATGGGAAATGAGTAGGGAAGGGGGAGGAGCCAGGGGTATGAGGGAAGACAAGAGGGAGGGGTTAGGAACAAGAGGATATGGAAAAGGTAGGAACTGGTGGATAGGGAAAAGAGAGGGTCCAGGAACTGGTGGGTGAGGAAGGAGGAGGATCTAGGGACAAGTGGATAGAAAATGTGGGGCAGAGGGCAGGTCCAGGAAGTGGTGGGAAGGGAAGAGGGAGGATCCAGTAACTGGTGGGTTGGAAAAGGGGAGAGGTCAGGAGCTGGTGGGTAGAAAAAAGAGTGGGTCTAAGAACTGGTGGGAGAGAAGGAGGAGGGGGAGGGCTTGGAGCTGGTGGGTAGAGAAGATGAAAAGAGGCTAGGGTAGGGAAGGGGAACAAGAGTGGGCATATAGGGAAATAGGGAGCAAAGCTAAAGTGTTGGAGGTTAAACTCCATTGGCAAAGCTCTAGGCAAAAGGAATGTTGGTGCATTCTAGGAGATACAAAACATTTCTAATTTCTCTAGGCTAGATAACTGATGTGTGTGAGATGCCAGGTGCCATTTTGGATGTTGGCGTTCTCTATGCCTCTATATCCATGGGCAGAGACTAGGTATCTGTCTTCTGAGCAGAAGTTGTTACCTTTATTATGATCTCAGGGGCCCTGGAACACTGTCCACTGGGAACCAAAGACTGACCAAATTCAGAGGGCAGAACCAATCTTAGTTTTCTGAGATGGAGAAATAAGACCACAAGCTTTTCAAAATCAACCAGAAAAGATTTAAACAGCCTTCCAATTGAAGCAAGGGCAGCACATGAAATAACAACGGCAGTTTATATTGAGGATTTACAGAAGTCCTCTGGAGTCAGAGATCAAATTTCAAACTTGGCAATTTTGATAGTACAACATAACCAAGTATCTTATTTGATTAAAACTGGAAAGATTTTCTTTTTCAAAATGTGATATATTGTTTCAAATACATTATATAATATCTTGTGTTTTTCTTGATTTAGCCTAAAATATAGTTTTTAGCATTTTCTAAACTTCTAAGTGTGGGGGACATGAAAGTAGTTTAAGTGATTGCAAATTTAGCTGCAAAAGCACTCCTACATAAAGAAAACAGGTGAGTAAGAAAGATGGACATCCGACCTGAGAGCTGGCTCACTTGTTAAAAAAAAAAAAGTCTTTATGTTACGCAAACAAACCACTCCATATGCACAGTCCCTACAACTTCTGTCTACTAAAAAAGATATGGAATATAATTGAAACCCTCGCCAATGAAAGGTTGTTAGAAAAATCCAAAAGAGTATATTTGTACCTCCATACCAAAAATAAATCAGAATTCTAAACTATAAATTTAAGTTGAGCCTCTGTGTTGACACAGAGTCAATCAGCCTCAAGCCCTTCAGACCAAGTCAGCTGCAGTTGTATGCTTTCTTATTAGATCACCATGTGCTATAAAGACACATCTCATGATTGTCTTTCTACTTAAAAAAGCATAAAAGATGATGGAAAAATACTGAGCCAGATTTCTCCCCAGAGTATAGATTTCATGAGGGTTAGATCTTTATAGATGAAGACAGCGTGGAAAAATTGATGAAACTACAATACAGTCAGAAGCCAGGCTGACTGTATCCAACAACTCAGAGCTATATAGTTCATCACCTTCAGGAAAGGTAGCAATCATCATTTATATCTTTAAATTATGTAACATAGACTGATAAAGAAAATAGGAAGAAAGCACTGACAATTTCTTCTGCTAACAACAAAAAATGTTTAGCCAAGACCCACAAGATAGTAGAAAGAATCTTGTAATTGAGAAGCAAAAAGTATAAAAGTATGAGAAATAACAAGGAATTGGGCATCATCTCACTCAAAGAAAATAAGGAATGATGGGGTCAAAGTACTTTACGCATCAACCATGGGTGTAGACAGAAAACTGCATTGAGTGTCACAAGAACTATAGAGAATACTTCAAAGTTAATGAGAGAAAAAAATCCGACTGAGAGAGAATGAGGGAAACACACTGAACTAAGCAGCCTCTTCTATCTCAGGAGATGCTCAATGAACCACTACGCCATTCCACAAGTATACTTGATGACCCAAAGTATAGGGACCAAACACTATGCTCTTCCTGTTTACTCTTCTGGCACAGGGCGTTGTATCTTGGGTCTTCAGTGTTTTCAATCATAAAACCAGAATTCAGTGCCCCCTTGTGCAGCCCTCTAACATTGTCTTCCAATACTGGGTGTCTTTAGGACAAGGCAGAGGGTCATACAGGTGCTGGGGCTGAATTTAGAGTTGAGTCTTTGCCTTTTTTATTTTATTTTATTTTTTTGTCTTTTTGAAGCAGGGTCTCCCTGTAGCCCCAGCTGTCCTGGAACTCACTATGTAGACCAAGCTGGCCTTGAACTCACAGAGTTCCGCCTGCCTCTGCCTCCCAAGTGCTGGGACTACAGGTGTGCACCACCACACCTGGCTGAGTCTTTGCTTTTAAGGTAAGAATAACCATCATGACCTAATGAACATAATCATACGTTATAGCTTACTAATACTTTCCTGTGACTCAGAAAATAAATACTACATGGCCCACCCCCAGCCCCACCCCAGGCCAGAGATGCTGCACCCAGGATTAGAAAGAGTTACAGGTATTTGCCACAGGGATTCTGCATTGGAACCTTACATACAGCATCTCTTTCTCAATTTCAGGGCCAATCCTCGGAACTTTAATTTTGACAATGTGGGAAATGCCATGCTGGCATTGTTTGAAGTTCTGTCTTTGAAAGGCTGGGTGGAAGTGAGGGATGTCATTATTCATCGTGTGGGGCCGGTAAGCATGCAGATGAGATCTCTCAAGAACTTCCAGAACAGCTCTCATTGCTTTGATGAATAACTGTGTTTTTCATTTATGCAGATCCATGGAATCTATATTCATGTTTTTGTGTTCTTGGGTTGCATGATTGGACTGACCCTTTTCGTTGGTGTAGTTATTGCTAATTTCAATGAAAACAAGGTAAGTATTCTGAACTTAATATTATATAGTCTTTTTTGTTCTAATCTTTGCTTTGAGATAATTTTTTCATACACAGTATGAAGCCATATAAACTGTGATATGAATTATGTAATTAACCTGCATAACTATTTTACAAGCGTCCTCATAGCCACACACTTTGAGTCTATTAGGAGTATAACTCTTGATGAATTTACTTTTTTGTCAGTAATTCATTGACAACTAAGAAGCACATCTATTATTCAAATTGAGAGAGTGAACATCAAGTTATTAAAACACAACAGCTGAGAGCAGTGCTCTGATTGTAAGTAACATCACCTTCAGAGTCTAAATCGCAGGCCTCCTTGTCACTCAGTGGCTTAACTGAAAGTGTTAATAAGGAAGAAACCATACAAAACTTAAAACCCAATTCATAGAATAGAAGGGTTTATTTCTAATTTCATATAAATTTGGATACTTCATGAAGTCCAGAACCACTGTGTTTCATAACAGCGCTAATGACAGGTGCAAGACTCATGAGTAAGATGAGTAAGTCACCAGAGTAAGAAAAGAACAATGTTGTTTCCTGTGGAAAAGTGAGTTGAGGGAACAACAATTAGTCCCCCTCAGAGAGGCTCTTGTTCTGGGCAAGGCTGATAAACCATTTATTGGGAAAGGGTTGGTCTTTTTTCATGAAACAGGAAGATAGTGTATGTGTGTGTGTATATTTGTGAGAGAGAGAGAGAGAGAGAGAGAGAGAGAGAGAGAGGCTTCTATCAATTCTCATGTGTTTTATGAAATGTATGGTAGAAGAAAAAGCAATTACTCTAAGGAGTAAACACTTGGGGCCAAATTCAGATGTAGTTCCTATAACTGCAGAGTCTGTGATTCTTCGAAGGCAAGAACATAAAAACCACTACTGCAAAGCTCCATTTGACTGTGAAGCACCTGCTGTTCAATGTCATTCACTGCAACGACCAATTCCCATGTGTTCACATCAGAGCCCTTTGGTTTGTATGGCTACACGTGGGACTTCATCATTCACTGTGCCCAGACTCGATGTGTGTGGTACCACTCACTCAGTCAATTGCCACCTTTGATGTGTGCCTAATGAGTGTGTCACTTCATTCAGCCTTTCAAAGCGTACAATTTAAAAATCTCCCTTTGGACCCCAACGCTACTCCGACCCCCCAGAAACGTGGAATCTTAGAAAAAGCAGTAGTGATCATGTCGACCAGCCCCTCTCTTTTACTTCCTAACATGTTCATAAATGACTTTCTGTAAGCCCTACAGTGTGTTCTGCTTAATACCAAGCAGAAAGAGGACGATTTTTTTTTTTAATATGCCTTTGAGCCATGTAGTGGAGCAAACACTGGGAATTCCAGAATATGGACAGAAGTTAATCAGACCATTAACCAGAGCGATGAGGCACCACCAACCTGGAACAGCTTATGGGTCCCTGGCCAGGCTTCTGGCTGCAGAAGGACAGGTCAGCAGCTCACAAGTCAGAAAACATAAATGATTCAACTAAAAAAAAATGCTCAATAACAGGAAACAAATGTATAATTAATTGTCAGTCTTGCAATGGCTGTTAATTACCAAGGATGTCCACCTCCAACACACCAGTTATGTTCTCAAAGAGGTGAGAAGTCACAGCATGTTTGGGAGTGTGCTGTGTCAGCCCAAAGCAACACCGACAGAGCAAAATTAGCAATCATTTTAGCAGGTATCACAAACTTCACTAGTCAACCGGAAATATAAAGTTCTAATCATGTGAAGCTGTGTGTGTGTGTGTGTGTGTGTGTGTATATGTGTGTGTGTGTGTGTGTATATGTGTGTGTGTGTGTGTGTATATGTGTGTGTGTGTGTGTGTATATGTGTGTGTGTGTGTGTGTATATGTGTGTGTGTGTGTGTGTATATGTGTGTGTGTGTGTGTGTATATGTGTGTGTGTGTGTGTGTATATGTGTGTGTGTGTGTGTGTATATGTGTGTGTGTGTGTGTGTATATGTGTGTGTGTGTGTGTGTATATGTGTGTGTGTGTGTGTGTATATGTGTGTGTGTGTGTGTGTATATGTGTGTGTGTGTGTGTGTATATGTGTGTGTGTGTGTGTGTATATGTGTGTGTGTGTGTGTGTATATGTGTGTGTGTGTGTGTGTGTGTGTGTAGGTATATGTGTGTAGGTGTATGTGTGTATCTGTGGGCTGGAGTTCAATGTCAGGCATCTTCCTCAGTGGCTTCTTCACCTGATTTCTTGAGACAGACTCTCTCACTGAGCCTGGAGCTCAGCATTTCAAGTAATCTGGCTGTCCATTTAGCCTCCACATCCACCTGTAACTGACCACTAACACTAAGGCCACAGGTGCTGACCACCAGGTCTGGGAGCCAGGATCTGAACTTGACACCCTGAACCATCTTGTCAGCCCCTGAACCTTTCTAAAAAAATTTTTCCCCTACGTTTTTTGAAGGCAGCATATGAACTGGTATGAAGCAGTATTTATCCACTTATTTTTCAACTCTTCAACATATTCATTTGGACATGTACTGGTTATGAGACACTCTTGGCATCGAGGACCTTACAGAGTAAACCAAATACTAAACACGTGGAGATTTCTGCAACACATACAACAATGTATATTCTAAGTGTGTATAAATAAATTTCCAAATAGAATGATAGCGATAAGAAATGTGATAAGCTTCTCAGGGTCAAAGTTTTCAGGATTCAGATATGTAAAACCGGGTCTCCCTTAGAAAATGAATGGCTCTATAAAACTGCAAGTCTAGTCCATTGCTATGACATTTTTCTTTTGTTTTCCCTATAACAAGAGTAATACATTTGGCACAAAAACTCAGAGATAGTTATATATTAATAAGCTAATGATAACTTCACATTTACTATTCTTTTGGATCTCTTCAGTGTTTACCTTTCCAAATAATTTTAAAGATTTAAAGATTTTATTTTTATTTTTATTTTTATTGTAATAGGGCACCTTCTTGACCATAGATAGCTATGCCATGTTAAAGTTTAGGCTGACTCTAGTCTCTGAAATTATCAGGCTGTTGGCCCAGGATATGAGAACACATGTCAGCTGGACCCTGGTTGTCCTGGAACAGGTCAGAGTGTCCTGAAGAGTACCTGCTAACTGCAGATTTATGGCTTCTGTAGGTTATGCTTGGCTTCTTCTGCAAAATAGCAATTGTTGCTTAATAGACTAGAAATTGTTAAGGGGGCTTTGCACTTGTAAGCTTGGGAACTTAAACTTTTCACCCCTGGTTATGGTTTCTCAGTGTAAAAGCTTACCCTAGAGATGGCTTGGGGCTGCACACTTGGGTTCCATCACCCTTGTGTAGTAGCCATGACCAGCAACGACTTTCATTAGGCAAAACTTTGTCTGAATGCTCTTCTCTGGTGAAGCACCTCACAACATTTTTTTTCTTTTTTGGTCTTTTTGAGACAAGGTTTCCCTGTAGCCCCAGCTGCCCTGGAACTCACTATGTAGACCAGGCTGGCCTTGAACTTACACAGATCTGTGTGTGGATGTGTGTGTGTGTGTGTGTGTGTGTGTGTGTGTGAATGCAGTGCCCACAGAGACTGAAAGAGGGCATCAAATTCCCCTGGAGCTGGAGTTGCAGGCAGTTGTGAACTAACAAAATTGGGAGCTGGGAACTGAGCTGCAGTCCTCTGCAAGAGAGCAGTGCATGCTCTGAACTGCTGAGCCTGTACTCTCCAACCCCTTAAAGTCCGCAGTGTCTAGAGAGCAAGCATCTATTTTCAGTTAGTGAGAAAACTGATTTAGTATAGAAAAATCACTTACAACAAGATTGGGGAGATAATTCACTTGACAAGTGTTTACAGCATGAGAACCCGAGTTTAATTCCCAGAACCCATGTCAAAAAGCCAGGTGTGGTGGTAGTGCATGCTTGTAATCCCAGAGCTTGGATGGTGGGAATAAGTGGATTACTGAGGCTCCTTGACCAGTCAGCCCAGTCTAGTCAGGAGCCTAGGGCCAGTAAGAGAACCTGTCTCAAAAAACAAAATGAACCGCACCTGAAGAATGACACTTGAGGTTGTTTTCTGACCTCCACACAGGTACATGTGCAGCTGCAGTCACGTGCACACATAGACATATGAATACACACACACACACACATAATAAATGGAGTCATTGAATGTTGACTAAAAGATAATTATTGAGAAACCTGGAACTCTTGTCTCAAAATGTACAAAGCAAAAGGTAACCAAGCTATAAAACATTAGAGTCTGAGTGAAAGATAGCAACATAGTTTTCTGAAACTCATAAATCAGATCAAAAATGAAATATGAATTCAACAGAATAAAAGGATTTTTCTTAGTGGAAATAAGAACCCTGACCCCAGTAATTTGAGATGTGTTCTTTTCAAGTACAATGATTTCCAAAGAACTGGTATACAACATTAACACACCTTTAAAAATTCATGAATTAAAAAGAAATCATCATAGAAAAATCATAAAATATTTAGAGGGAAATCCTCTTAAAATATTAGATATTTAAAAACTCACATGGTACAGATAAGTCAGTAATTAAAAGTTCCTCACCCTAAGTTTAGATGTTAAAGAAAAGCAAAGCTCAATATTGATATGTCAAATACCCAATTCAATAACAATGTAAAATCAAGGAGAAAAAGAAGAAAAAAGTATAAAGGATTAAGCCAGAAATTAGTGGTGAAGAAAAAGAATTTACTGTACCTATGAATTCCAGAAAACAAAATCTGGTTCCTCAGGAAAATTAAGTTTAACAGATTGGCAAGAACAAAAATATGAAAAAAAATTTATTGATTAAAAACAGTATTAGAGTTGTTACAGTCAGAAAATTAGATTTATGTGTTGGCAAATTAGCCCAGTGAAAGCAAGCCCAAGGCCCTGGGCTTGGTCTCCAGCACCAAGAAATAAAGAGAAAGAGAGGAAGGAAGGGATAGAAGACAGAGAAAGAGGAAAAAGGGAGGGGAGGGGAGGGGAGGGGAGAGGAAAAAGAAGAGAGAGAGGAAAGAGGGAAGGGGGGGACGGAGGGAGAGGAGAGAGGAAAACTATTATAAAGTATAACATCTCAGTCATATATTCCTCCCTCCCTTCTTTCCTTCCTCCCTTCCTTTGTTCATTCGTTCCTTCCTTCCTTCCCGCTGTCCTTGGAGTTTGATAGTTTCTTATGTTGTGACAGTCTAGAGTATTTTCATCTTCTCCTTCCTCATGATCAGCCTCTTTTCCGTATGATTACTAAGAGCCTTGCTTCTCTCTTTGCTTAGTTAAACCTATTAAACATTTTATTTTTATTACATTTCTTTCTGTGTTTGCTTTTGTGTGGACACAATGTGATTTCTGGCATCAAACTCAGTTCATCAGGCTTTGTGGCAGGTGCCTGGACCCACTGAACCATCTTACCTATTAAACTTATTGACTAAAGAAATAAAACAATACTTTTAAAAGTTGTTTGTTCTATTAACATTTTAATAGGACAATTTTCAGCCACTCTCTCTGTGTATAAAGGGCAATAAATTTTCTAAGTCACGCTTATCCGTTGCTATACAGATACTGTTTGTAAAATCCTTTTGGCATGTACCTATTTGGCTATAATTGTGAATACTAATGTAATATGTAAATCTCAATAAAACTGTTAAGTGGAAAAAGAAAACAAAAAGGAAAGGAGAGAGGGATGAATGAAGGGAAAGAGAAAGGGAAGGGAGAGGGAAGGACAGGAAATAAAAGAAATTAGACTTAAAGAACACAACAGAAAGAGGAGAGGTCCTGCATATATAAAGAGAAGCAGCAGAACAAAGCCACATGGATGAAAGAGACCAGCAGTAAGTGCTCCTGGTGCAGTGATCGCGTCAATGAAGAATCCAACTTGAGAGCCCCACCCCACAGCATGTGAAAACATAATTTCAGATGAGTTGAAATTAAATGTGCAAAGCAAAGTTTAAGCCACTTTAAAACTATGTTGCATTAGTTACCTTTTTGTTACTGTGATTAAACACTATGACCTAGAGAACTTATAAAAGGAAGAGTTTATTTGATCTTACAGTTCCAGAGGGATCAGAGTAGGTCATGGCAGAGAGGAAATACCATATTTACAACTGATTAAAAGGGCTATATTATATGGCAAATATATGATTTGCATAGGAGCGGTAATATATTTTTAAATGTCTATTAAGTGTTAGAAAATAACAAAGCACAAAAATGTGCAAAGATACGAATGAACAAGTCCTTAAAACAGGTTCATTTTATACCCCTCAGGACGGCCAAACTGAAGTGTCCAATAGTAAAAATCAGTGGTAAGAATATAGGGAGATGGGAGTACTTGTTTATCACTGGTCCAAAACTTTTTTGGTTATTTGCTCTTTGGAGAGCATTGTGGCATTGTGCCGGATGGCTTTTGGTGTCAACTTGACACACCTGGGTTAGGGATTCTGGGGAATTGCCTCCATTGGACTGACCTGTGGCCATGTCTGTGGGGCATTTTCTTGATTGTTGAGTGATGGGGAGTTCCCAGACCACTGTGGGTAGTGCCACCCCTGGGCAGGTGGTTCTGTATTGTATAAGAAAGCAGGCTGAGCATGGGCCAGGGGAGCAAGCCAGTAAATAGCACTCCTCCATTGCCTGTGCTCCAGCTCCTGCCCTGAATTTCAGTCTTGTCTTCCCTTGATGATGAATTGTGCTTGTAAGGCCAAATGAACCCTTTCCTCCCCAAGTTGGTTTTGGTCAGAGTGTTTTGTTACAGCAATTGAAAGCAAACTAGAACAGGCATTACCTGGTAGATAAAGATGCTGAAGTTCCTGGGAACCAGCAATTTTTTCCTGGATATTTTCCATGGAAAGTCTTTCCTAGATGTTTACTGAGAGACAGAACTTGAGTGTCTTTTACAGCATAGTTAACAGTCCATGAATCTACAATAAGTAATTTATGGCACATTTCTGCAGTGGATCACTATGTGAGCTGTTTAAATGAAGAAATTAGGTCTAAGAATCTAGTTATATAGATAACACATTGTTCAAATCATACTGTTCACATGTGCACACACAAATAAGTAATAAATAAATGTAATGAAACTTCAAAGATGAAGAAAACTGAATAAATAAATACACACTGAATATATCAATTTAATGTAGAGGACAATTATATTGACACAAAGAGTCCCCATAAGCCAACAAGGAGAACTGTGAATGATTATACTATGTGTGGGTCTGTTGCAGGTTATTATAGGTAGTAACCTAGAGGAAAATTGAAAATACAGTAAGAGACTGCAGAGTGCTCAGCCCAAAATGGGACAGCTATATCATTCCCTCTCCTCCCAAGGCTCAGGGATGGTTGTAGAAGATGGGGCAGAGAGATTATAAGAGCCAGAGGTGGGAGATGAATTCCAGGAAACTGTAGTCTAGACACCACAGGATAGTTGTGCATATGAGCACATATGACAGCATGCTCAAGACCTGTGCAAGCCCAAGCCAGACAAAAATCTAGCATGGATGGGGAGGTGGACAAGAAGCCCCAGCTCTAGCTGAGGATCTATTGGCCACTGATAACTGCTAGGAGAGAGAAAGTCAGTTTCCTTTAAGGGTGTGAAGCTGGGTAGGTTGACCAGACTCAAAGGGATGAACACACAAATTAGGTTCAATAGGCCTTTAAAAATAATAATAGAAGACATGAAGTCAGTGAGGTCTTAGGGTGGGGGAGGGTGCTGAATATGATAAAAATAGATTGTACAAAATTCTCAAAGAATCAATAAAAATATTTTAAAAATTATAAGAGGGTCTTGCTTTGGAATAGTCTTCTGAGCTAGGACTGAACAGGAAAGGTTAAAAGTTAAAATAGAGTCAATCATTAAGTTTCATGAACCAAGATGAAACCAAGCTATTTATTTGAACTTACAAGAAGTCAGGTTTATGGCGATAATGGCTAAATTTCCACGACAAGCCAGTTTCAATCATCACAATAATGACATTCCCTTTGCCTTGATCCTTACACAGGAAAAATAACTTGAATCACCTTCTGTTAGCTTATAAATTGTGTTTCTGTTACCTGTCTCCTGCCTTACAGTAAAGAAAGCAGCTTGGAAACAACAATCCACTGGGCCTTGTTTCTGCTGTTTTCGTACTTTTCTGTCGGAAAAACCAACTTCCATTGTTCTTTGGAATATTTATTCATTTATTTCATTTTATGGAATGAAGTATTGCCTGATTTTACAAATGAAAATAAAACCAATGAAGATCTTTTAAAAAAAATTTTTAATTCAAAACAAATTTGCTCTTGTGTGCTTACATATTCCAAAGAGCATAAAATTCTGAAAATCAAGGAGGCTGTTTTGTGGAAGGACAGTCATTAGCTTTAGGGGAGGAAAGGGAGGATATAAGTGGACATCTCCCCTCAGTTTCTTAAATGTTACTTCTGCCTTTGTGATATAGTATAATAAAATACAAAGCAGAATGATATAATGTAATAATGTGCATTTTTATCAAGTACTCCACTTTATAACACAGAATATTTTATCCTATCTACCAACTACTGTAGCACTAATTTCTTAAAGAGGAAAATTCCATGACTTCATAGCTCTTAAAAATAGTTTTACAGTTGCACATATTAGAGTGTTTAAAAAAAGGATTATAAAAAAAATCCTTAACTAGAAGCAGCAATACTGACACGCTGTAATTTTGCTGCTATGAAGTGAAAAGAAACTAACCAAGATTAGTTAGTATCCTTTTTGGAGAATGTAATCATGTAGAAAACCCTCTTGAAATTTTCCCGTCTGAATATTACACATCTTCTAAGACACAAATTGAAGGCTGCTGACCGCCCTGAGGCATGCAGCTGTCGCTTTGGGGAATTCCTCTCAATAGAGATTGTGAATTCTAACCATGTACCTCCAGCCAGTACAGATTTTGCAGACTATCTCTATCACAAACCCCCACATTGGTCCTGTTTGTAAAACTAGCCCATCACACTGTTCTGTGCCTTTCCTTTTCACTGCTTTCTTTGTTTGTCAAGGGGACAGCTCTGCTGACAGTAGATCAGAGACGATGGGAAGATCTCAAGAGCAGACTGAAGATCGCACAGCCTCTTCATCTCCCACCTCGCCCTGGTATCAAAGATGCTCTGATTTTATTCATGTTGGGCACTAGTGTTCTGATGCCCCAGGAGCCTCAGATTTAAATTAAAATAATAATTGTGAGGCCACTAGGAGGTTGTGCATAAGTTAATATCGAAACAGGCTCCAAACTGCTGATCTCTCCACAAGGCTATTAAAATCAGCCACCCAAAGTCTTTGCTTCAGTGCTCTCTGAATAAGCCTTAATGAAAAAAACTGAATTTTTAAATAAAATATATTTGTGCTTGCCTTTAAAAAATATGAGTGAAATGTATTAAGCTGCAAGAAATTGAATGATGTGCTTCTTCTTCCGATGTGGATGGCACTGTGCACTGTTGTTTTAATATTCAGCACCAGCCATTCCTGCAAAACACCTCACTATAGATTGAACTGGATGGGAAGGCTGTAATGGGTTTCAAGATAAGCATTAAAGAAAATGAAAGAAAAGAAAGCAAATCCAGCCTGTGCCTAAAGTGCCCTTGCCTAAACCTTTCTTTTCCAGATAATGACGGCTTTAGAGCTAAAATGTATGACATAACCCAGCATCCGTTTTTTAAGAGGACTATTGCGTTGCTTGTTCTGGCCCAGTCTGTGTTGCTGTCTGTCAAGGTATTCTTTCACTCTGAAATTTTGGGAGTGGATTTCGTATCCATGGTGCATCCAGGAGTGTTGTAAGCTGCCGTATCCATTTGCGAGCTAAGGTCTTTAGTAAAAATAAAAAAGATCCGTGCTCATATTAAAATGGGCAGCAGCGAGGGAACATCTGTGTCTGGTGGAAGTGGCAATGACTTGTGTGCTCTTCCGGTTGCAGTGGGATGTCGAAGACCCTGTGACTGTCCCTTTGGCAACAATGTCAGTTGTCTTCACCTTCATCTTCGTCCTGGAGGTACAGTAATGGGTCTGCTGGCTCTGGGGTGAGCCAGCCACAATCTGAAAGAAAATCAGTCCCCCCTTTGATGGCACCTACCTTCAGTCCTGTGTTCTCTTGTCTTTGAAGTCTTGGGTAAGGGGGGTGTTGGTTCACATGCAGGGAGCATGCTCTTAGGGTATTTCCTTTTAAGACTGTTCTGTTTAATTTGCAAAGACTTCACTTTACAGTTCCAATTTTTCTAACTGCAGAAACATCACTACCAATGTTGTGTCTGAACATTGGCCTGTCTCGTAATGAGTTCAAATATTTAGAGCACAAGACACAAGCCACTGTAATTCAGAGATTCAGATTACATCATGGTGGTAACGCATACTACGGCCCAGCCAAGATTTTTTAAAATGAGTTCTTTGTATTTCATCTCTTTGGAGTAAAGTCTTTCTTGAAATTCAAGTGGATTCTCATATTGCCATAAACTGGCTGATGTTTCCCAAAACCTATGGCTTTTCATTCAAGAAAGAAAAATTACCCCTAATGAAGCAGCCATAAAACAAGAAGATTGTGGAGAACAGGAAAGTGGCAGCTACTGAGATTTAAAAAATAAAATCCTCTATCTTGGTGATAAACTCTTCTTTTGTTAACTCTATCCTTAAATCTGTGTAATATGACTCAAGTTAATTGATTTAAGTACTTGCTAAACACTTGTTTTCTATTCTCTTCTCTTCTTTCTCCAGGTTACAATGAAGATCATAGCAATGTCACCTGCCGGGTTCTGGCAAAGCAGAAGAAATCGATACGATCTCTTGGTGACATCACTCGGTGTGGTGTGGGTGGTGCTTCACTTTGCTCTGCTGGTAGGCCCATAATTAAACTTTATTTCCATGATAATTCAATTTAGTTAGTCGTGATCTGTTTCCGGTCTCTCTTCACTCCATGTCATCTGCTCCCCAGTGTTAGATCAACCCCCTAAAGCCAAGCTTTCATCCTGAGAGCCCTCAGGCATGCTTGCAAATACACACCTACACTCTTCACACAGGTGAAACCTGGACTTCAAAGTCCTAAAGTGCAGAAGCCAGAAAAAAGGCTCTTAAAGACAGTCTTATTTAATTCTTCATCTTACCAAAAGATAGAACAGGAGTGAGGGAAACCAAAGCAGAGATGAAGGCGCCTGTCTAAATTCACACAGCAGACTAGGGCCGGAAGACTCGGGTCCTGCACTCTGAACTTAAGAGTAGTGCGCATTCAAACCCATTATAAGCAAGATTTTTTATGATGTAATTCAAACATACTTCCAATACACAGTTCTCTCCCAGACATCTAACTGCCATTTCTCTAAGTCCTAGCATTCCCCATGCATACCTGAGCTCTCACTATTTTGCCTAAAATGTCTTCACCCTTCATTTACTCTGAGGGCCAGCCTAAAATCTACAGCTGTGGGTATACTGGACTTCAGCATACAGTGGTGTTGTCCAGTGGAAATAAAATATGGCCACAGATGTGATGCAGGCTTTAACTGTAAACTATAATCATTACAGCCACCTGTAAGGCATTCTTTTAAGTACCATCTTTTCAGGGCTGGAGAGATGGCTCAGTGGTTAAGAACACTCGTTGTTCTTGCAGAAGACCTGGGTTCAAATCCCGGCACCCACATGGCAGCTAACAACTGTCCGTAACTCCAGTCCCAGGGGATCCAGCAGTCTCTTCTGACCTCTGCGGGCATTGCACGACATGGATGCACTGACCTGCATGCAGGCAACACACACATATGCATAAAATAAAATTTTTTTTAATTGAAAAAAAATAAGTACCATCTTTTCAATAGTTTTCTGAAACCCCAATTGAGATTGAGTTTTTATCAGTTTTCCCCATTTTCCCTTCCTCTTTAATATTAGAAGCATGCCAGAAAAGATCTGTTGCACATAGAATTGGTTTTCTTATCAGAATGAGCTAGCTCTAGTATGGGACTACTCTGCTAATAAGCACACTGAGTAGGCTTAAACTAGTGGTTTCCTTCAACGTCAGGACCTGTTTGTGCTCTCAATCAACTGGATTCATTTTCTCAAACAATAAAGGGTTTTGAGCATAGTAATGTACAAAGCACTGTGTAAGGATTAAGAAGAACAGAGTGAATGAGACAAAGACAGCTACTGCTCTCAAAAACCCTACAGGAAAAGCTAAACAGACATTCACTGCATGCTCACCGACCAGTGAGGACTATGGATGTGAAATGAGGAGAAAGATGGTCCCCGTGAGGGTTTTTAGTCTCATTCATAAAAGAATTTAAGAATGGGCCCAACCGGAAACTTTTACAATTTTATTAGAATCTTAAAGAAAAATCCTCAGGGCAGGTGAGCTGGTAATCTTGGCAGCTGCCTTGAGGAGGCGAATAGTAGGAAGAAGGAAAGAAAGCCATGGAGTCATGTAGGTTTAGAGCCTGCATGGAGGTCACACACGTGGCTGACTCACAGCCACATGGCTGGGAGAAGGAAGTTTTAGAGAAAAAGTGAAGAAATACAAGATGCTAGGGGCAGCCCAAAGCCGTAACAAAATCACATTTAGTAAGAAAGGCATGAAGAAGAAAAGGAGAAATTACACTTTCCTGAAAAGTTCAGGAAAGCAGACAGACTTACAGAGACCTACACGGCTGTGGCTGATCTGGAAGTTCTTCCAGGACCTGAGCTAGTTCCAGGCAGAAGTATTCGCTACTTAATCAACACACCAGGTATTCCGCCCATCTATTTAGCATAACTTAAGATGACCCTGCCTTCTTGGGAGTGGTTCTATCTCCAGACAACTGACCAGTGAGACTAGAAAAGTAGGATCCACCAACAGATAGACTAGACATTTTTATAGTCTGGACCAGTTCAATTTATGGGGCTTATTGATACTCTAACATGTGCTGAGAAAGAGAAAGGAGAGCCCATGTTCCCATGACAACAAATAGGATTAGGAGATGGCTTCATCAGAGGGGTCCTAGAAGACAGTCCCAAAGAATTGCACTCCATCTGTAGAACAGTCGGGTTACATTGAAGATGACAGAAATGTCACAGTGGAAAACAGCTGACCTTGGCTGTGAAAGAAGGGTGTGGGAACTAGAAGGCCCGGTCATGTAGCTGAAGTAGGAGCAAAGGTATGTAGCCTGACTTAAGGTTTGGAAGGGTAGAAACGCATGTCTTCTCAGGACTTTGAGGTCCAGGTGAAACTAACCAGTCATCATCCCAGAGGCTACAGTCTTCCAGAACATAAGGAGTCGAGACATCCACAAAGGATCCTGAACTCACATGGAAAGAAGAGACAGGAAAGCATGTTTTGTTTGTTTTTTCTTTCTCCAGACAAACTTTTAGCTAAACACCACTCAGACTACACAGAAAAAAGGAGCACGCTTCCTAATCCAAATATCTCCAGAGAGGAAACGCTAATGCACAAAGACCAACTTCCCTTTCTGCTTGACTGCCTTGGTTCTTTCCCTGAGAATCTCTGGTCCTGGAAAAGAGATCATCCTCTGCCATATTTTGCAGTGGACTGCTGTGAAGGAAGGCACAGTCCTTGTCTTCCACCCAAAATTGCTCTGTGCCCACATTCCTGTCCTTGTGCCTCACTGGACCCCCTTCCCAGGGGCCCATCTGGGACTGTTGTCGCTTGGCTAGGCAGCTCCTGGAGAATGTGCAGGCTTTGGCATCAGATGAATGTCACGGTGGTTTTTCCTGTGGCCGGTGGCATCTTTGTTTCTCAGAGGAAGCCTTCTTAGTCATAAAGCACAGAGTCACTTCTGGCCCTAAGCACATACCTTGAAGAGCGAGCTGGATTCATTCCTGATCTGGGGGAGCTTTTCTGAAATTGCTTGATTTGTAAACAGTAGGGCCAGAGACCTACTGTAAACAGTAGGTCTTTACAGAGAAGGAAGCTGCCTTCAAGTACTTTGTTGTTGTTGCTGCTGAGGCTGTTGATGTCATTTTTGAAATAGGGATTCATGTAAGCCAGCCTGGCCTTGAACTCACTATATAGTCAGGGATGACACTAAATTTCTGATCTTCATGCCTTCACTCCCAAAGTACTGGGATTATAGACATGCACCAGTGCTTCTGGCTTATGCTGTGCTGGGGATCTGAATCCAGGGCTCATGCATACTAGGCAAGTACTTTATCAACTGAGCTACATCCCCAGACCCTTCAAGACTCTTTTCTAGCATCCACCCTTCTGCTTTACCAAGGTGCTGTTATTTCCGATTTCATTCCACTTCTCCGTGTTGCATGGTTACCCTGTGTTTTTCTGACCTTGTCCTCAAAGGGGCTGGTCACTGCTTTATGTGAAATACATTTCAGAATACAGAATTCAGCTGAGCAAAACAGAACCCAAAGTTTTATTTGAGATTTGATTTTAAATCTAATATTTATTCATGAGTTTTGGCAGTGACCTTTTCAACACTTTTTTAGATAAAATTTCTCATAGGAATTTTCACATTTTATTAAACTAATTATTCAGTAGACTTCACAGAAGGCTTAAAATGAAAAAAAAATGAAACTGTAACAAGATCTTTTGTGCAAATTATAAGAGGCTGTCTTCTGTTTAAATTTCAGAATGCATATACCTACATGATGGGTGCATGTGTGATTGTCTTTAGATTTTTCTCCATCTGTGGAAAGCATGTAAGTATGTCATGAAGAATCCTTTCAAAGGTCACATATGCATTGAATAGTCAGTAGCGCTGACTGACCTCAGCTAACCTGTTGTTCAAGGCTACAATCAACTAAGTCTTAAAATCATAAATCAAGATTAATAAATATTAAAATGAAACAGTAGCTTAATTATCATCATTATGCATCCAGCTTGCTTCAAATATATTTCTTCCCATTTATGTTATTCATCATATTTTCTGAGTAAACTCAATCATAAAAGATGCCATATTGACTCTGAACACAAAAAAAATCAATGCCATTGTTTCATGCCTTAATTTATGTTTTTCAACTAACTTTATTGCAGAGAAAATTCTTAATTGATGGTATTGATTCTGTGGTTTTAGATTGACTTATATTCCTCCACAGTATTCATGCATACATGCTACCTATAGCTTTCCTTTTCAGAGGTATTGTTTCTTTTTTGTCACTAAAAAGAGGTATTGGGTCAGCCAGGCGTGGTGGCACACGCCTTTAATCCCAGCACTCGGGAGGCAGAGGCAGGCAGATCTCTGTGAGTTCAAGGCCAGTCTGGTCTACATAGTGAGTTCCAGGACAGCTGGAGCTACAGGGAGACCCTGTCTCAAAAAGAC